GGCAGACAACTCTTGTCCTTTCAGACTGAGAAGCTACGAAGACTCATGCACGGTTGCAACCAGATGGCGACTGCTTTGCTTCCGGCATCCCGCATTATGACCTTCATATTGGAAGCCCTGTCCTTTCATTTGCATATTGGCTTGAAGCGAGCGGGCCAAGTTACAAACATGTGCATGCGAGTTGCAAGGAAAGGTACTTGGGGGAACACTATGTGTGTGTGCCTGCAAATCCTCATTCTCGCTGAGAGATTGATTGCCAGCTCGCCTGACGCTGACCTTCAAGCTGAGTTGTCACAAGTTCTGGTGTTGTTCAAGCAACCCATGCGCATGCAGAGCTTCTTTTGTGGAAAGCTTTTGACAGCAGGAAGGCAGAAATCCCTGCAAGATTCAGGCGAGAAGGGCGAGGCCTTGAACACCGACACCGACACCAGTTCGCCTGAGTTGAGGACCACCAAGATCGAGAAGTGTTTGCTCCATTTGCTGAACAACTCTGGGTTGGTTCAGCCAGGCAATGGTCGGTTTGCGGAAGTGAAACACCAATTTGCACAGCTGCTCATGCTGTGCCTGGGTGGTGCTTTGTCCCAAGACCTTGCCCACTTCGACGACACTATGTTGGGCAGTTTGTTTACAGCTGCTGAGCTGCCAGCTGCTGCGCAGGGCCTTCGGCTCTCCATACTGTGTGACAAGTTCTTGACATCAGTGAGCAGTGCTTCGGATGGTGCAAAAGGTTCATCAACAGGTAGCCCGGAGAAGAACATGTGCTTCCACGCAGACGCGTGCCGTGATTTAGCCAGCGAGGACTCAAGTGTTACCAAGGAGGGCTCAAGGAGGTGGAGGCTCGAGCGGCTTCATGTCAGTGTGGTTCCTTCGCCAGCGGGCTTGAATGTCTCCAGCATAACAAAGGAACTTCAAGACTCGCCAGTCAGCTCATCAGAGACTCTCCTGATTGTTCTCTCTTGCGACGCAGTTTGTGAGAAGGCCAAAATGCCATGGAAGCGGGCGCCTGCTGCTGCACGACCTCAATCGCAGCATGTGGCAAAGCTTTTGCAATTCATGCAAGATCAGGTCTGCTCACGGCCCGGAACAACAGGTCTTGTATTTGACGGGCTTTCCAGGAGCTACCGATGCTGCGTGGAGCAGAAGCTTCCAATGAGTTTCGAGTCATGCAACATCTACAAGAACAAAAGAGGTCATGCTGTGGAACATGCCTACTTGTTGTCTTCCTTGAAGGGCATCAAAAAGAGGAGCTTGCATGCAACATTTCGATCTTTGCAAGAAAAAAACAGAGATCTTACGCTGCTGGCCTGCCCCTTGTGGATTACGACGCCAAAGCAGGAGTCATGGCTTGGCCGAAAACCCCAAAGATGATGGCGCCTGACAGATGGCGAGCGCCAGGTGTTCCACTCCACTGGCGTGAGTGCAAAAGCTTCGAGTATTGGCAGGAGGTGCTGAATGGTCTTCATGTGACAGCAGTCATTGACCTTGCGGCCACCACCATGATGCCGTTGGCCTGCATGGCCACAAACACACGATATCATGGCTTCGATGGCACACTCAAGGCGAAGGAATGGATGGACAAGATGCTGGATGACTCTGCCCACCGGCATGTGCAGGGGCGTCCAGGCCTGTGGAAGGATGTCACATCTGAGTGTGTCCTTGAGGATGAGAGCAGTGACGACGAGGCCGACGTGCCTGACACAGACGACTGACATCGACTGACAAGCGATTGACAAAGGGTGACTTGCACATGCAAGTAGAAGGGGTGAAGGCAACAACATGTTGTCTTGAAGCAGAGTTTCTTCTCATGGGGCTGGCAAGGAGGCAAAACAGTGCGTGTTTCCTGCTGGCACCTTGAAACTTGAAGCATCATGGCGCACCTTGCCACAGGTGACAGCCTTGAACTGTGTGCCGCAGTTTTGTGAAGCTATCGAATCATTGGCAGCGCAAATGGTTCGCAAACAGACAGCTTTATTTCAAAAGTCAGGTAGGGCCAACGGAGGTTGACTGGTGAACAAAGTTGCCAAGCTGAGCCTGTAGAAGATGAGTCTGTGTCGGTGCTGACGGCAGCCAAGTTTGAATTTGGCACTGGCTATAATTTCATGCAACGTAGTTTGGTAACGCCAGGGGCCACCATGTACCAAGCCAGCTTGTTGTGTGTAGCTGGCTTTCTGGAAGCTGCAAAACACATGTGCAAGCTTCCCACGGGTTGACGAAACGTTCTGAGCCTCAATGCATCACTTCAGCGAGCGCAACAATACTTATAATATTGGCTTATTTTCATGATGCGAGTCACACTGATGGCGGCTCACGTGAGAATACTGGAGCAGCATGTAGCTGCCCGGCCGTTGTCCTCCAAGCAAGATGAAATGGGAGAAATGCCCAAGCTTCCCGCAAACTGATGAGTGACGAGAATCGAAACAAGAACTCACGACTAGTTCAAAGAATGCAATGATGTTGCCTGGTTCTTTTTTTGCGCTCGTGACACATGTCACTATGAAATTGACGTATGATAGTAATGGCGATGTGCTGTTGCTGAAGAAGTATACATGGTAGCCGCTAGGCTACCACACTTCGACAGCATGGTCTCTTTCTCAAGTGAGATTCCTGCGCCAAACAAAATCCGGTTGGTGCCGGGGGTGAACGGCCTACTAAACCTGCAAAGATAGGAAAACAAATAAGACACAAGCTACATGAAACATAATGAACCAAACGTTTTAAGAAGATAAACGCTAAGAAAAAGGCATCGTTTTTATTATACTTCCCATATCTTGTAGATGAAAGGTTTCCTCAGTAGCCACTGACAAAGGCTAAACCCCGGATAAACCAGCTGATGTCAGACACACTATTTCCAGGGCGTCTGACTGCGAGCCTTCCTTTCACAGCTTTGCCATGATACACGCAGACGCAGGGGCATCAATTTGCTTTGACGGTGCCCAAGGCTGTCTGACGGACCTCAGCTTGGAGGTCATGGAAAAAGACTGGATGCCGAACATGGACAATGAACAGAAGGTGTGTCCGGCTGGCAACCGCTGGATGCGGTTGCCCCGTGTTTTTTCCTACGCAGAGGTGAGCGAGAGAAAGAAAATACTGGTCTTGTGCTGGTTTCTTGATTGCTTGTGAATGCATGTAGGCACATTTGCATTGCAAAAACAGCCTTCTGCAGATTCGATCTCACAGGGTAGTAGACTTGCAACGGGAATGACCAGCATGCCTTCAAGGCCGTCGGAGCCTGCAGAGGAGGACTGGCGCAAGCCTGCTGGCAAGGCCATTGCTGAGCAGGAGAAGTGGGCAACTGGGCCGCAATTGGAAGGCCATCTTTCCAGCAGCAGTGTGGAATCCTCTTGTGTCTTTTTGTTCCTTTTCATCCGTCATGTCCTTGAATTCAGGTGCAGCTCAATTTGCTGACCTTCCTACGCAAGCAGAAGCTTTTGGCAACCTTGCATGAGGGAAAGGACGACTTGAAGACCTTGGCGCAGCTGAGCCCATTGCAACTGCATGACACGCCTGACAAGTCCGACAAGACTGACAACAAGCCTGACAAAGCAGACAAACCGGAGAAGGCGACAAAGCAAGCCCAGAAGGCTTCCAAAGTGACTCGAGGCTACAAAGAGATGTTCGACGACACACATGCGGTCATGTCTTTGACCCATGAAGGGCTTTATGAATCTGGCGCCTCAATGTTCTGGCTCTTGTCGGGATCCACGAATGCCGATGCCAGTGATGACACCAGCTTGTCGTTTGCGGAGATCGATGCGTGGGCAAATTTGTGGTTTGCTACCAAAGGTGGACACGCAGATCGATTGCTAGCACCAGTTGTTTTTCTGGGTCAGGCAATTGGCAAGGCAGACTATGTGGTGGTGGATGATTTGAGCAGCGTGCTCCTTTCCAGGCATCAGGCGCCGTCGCCTGGCACCCTTTGCTTGGCTTTGGGCATTGTTGCTCTTGGGGCGACTGTGGTGAGCAAGGCGCAATTTTCGCGCATGGACCTGCGGCGGCCTGGCCCTGATGTGCTGCACCACAAAAGTGTGCTCACAGAGACAAAGAGCTTTGTGATGTCAGCGCGGTTTGCCCGTGAGCTCCCTTCGCTGAAGCAAGCCTTTGAGAAGCTTGCGAGGTGGCCTGGAAGCAAATGGACATGTCACAATGGAGACAAGCCTTCTCCGGGCAGCGTGTTCCTTCATGGCTGCACAGACTTGTGTGTTTTTCTGCAATCAGCTCGGCGATTGGATCGTGATTCAGTTTTGCAGAGTGAGTACACAAAGCAGCCCAGTGGCACAAAGCGCGCTGGGCAAAGTTTGCGTGAGATCTTTGACAAGCCCCCGCAAGGGCGCCAATCCATGGGCTTGGGCGGTGTCAAAAAGCAACCGTGCAGCTGATTATTTCTCGTGACACGAGGAGGAAGACAGCTGTTTGCTTGTCCATTATGTTCCCTTTGCCTGACAGAACCAACTTCAGTTTATTTAGATGGTGCAGCAAATTTTAGGCTTGTGTTGCTGGGATTGGCAGGGGTTGACAGTGCAAGCTGGTTGGGAAGCATAGTATGCCTTATGAATTCCCATTGTAACAAGCTCCTTCTTCATCATAAAGCTCAATCATTGGATCTGAACCACATCCTTGGTTTCCCGTTAAGTTCCCGCAAGTTTAGAACAAACACGTCAAGCTTGCGTGGCTAGTCAAGCTTGCATGGCATGGTTGACGGGTGTTTTGTGCGTCTAAATCAACAATCATGGTGTTGACTCATAGGGGCAGGGGCAGTTTGTCTGACTGGGTGATACTTGGTCTCAGGGCTTTCTGGCATAGCGGGTTCCACAACATTGCAACACGATCAGTTCTTGGGGGGTTGGAGCAGAACAAACTTGGCAGGCGATGATGGCATGGAACAGCTGCAGTGCTTGGAAAGACAAAAAGGTGCTTGCTGCTGTGTGTGCTATCAAAATGGGCCTTTGGAGAAAACATTTTTGGGCGAGGGTGGAAGGTACACCAAGAGGGGCTTCGCCTAGGAGAGCGGGGACCAGCTGTGGCGCTTCGAGGAGGAGCCCTGGAATCACTTCGGGGCGGCCGGGGACGAGGAGCGCGTCCCCGAGTTCAAGGACAGCGCCTCGAAAGCGGCGGGGGCCGAGGGCTCCGTTGCTTGTTTGGTGTCAAGCGTCCATTTGCTTAACTGGGGTAGACTTAGGATACATTTTGCATTTTACCGATGACTCAAAGGGAAGCAAACATATACATTCTATAGCTGGGCCTATGTTTAATCATGTTATGACGTTAAACAACGTGAATTTCCCCGTTGGTTTTGAAGGGGAGCTATCACCACCGGGAAAAAAACAACATGTTTTTTGTTTTGTTGTTTTTGTGTTTCTAGGGGCCTCAAGAAAATGGAAGCAAGGCAAAATGAAGCCGACCATTTCGGGGCGTCCCCAAATTTTGATGCATATCTGGGACCGTGGGCCATGAGCTTCATCGCCATGCTCTGTGGAGAGGCGGGCAGGATTCACATCCGGCAAGGACGCCCTTCGTTTACAATTTCCCATAGTTTTCCTTGGAACAAGACAATACATCACCAAGGCCTCAATCATGACTTCCACGGAGGATTGCAGCTGTTTTCTCAAGTTGTTTTGCTTTGTTTTTAAGAACGCATTCGAGGTCCCTTTTGGATCCTTCCGCGCCCATTCGAATTGATATCTTTTCTCGTGCTCCTTTCTTGAATCTCTGCATTCTGGTTCGCCTCAGGCAAGAACCGCATAATTTGTGGTTATCGCACTCGTACTTTGAGTGTCGTCTGCCGTTCTTTACGGATTGGACCATGCTCCCCGGGATGCCGGTGAAACGCATCTTTTCCCTTGGGTAAATGCCCCATGGTTCAGCAGGCTAATCTATGTTGCCCGAATCTAATATTTCGCATGACAGCGCAAAAGAGGTTCCTTCTCCCTCTGTCATTCACACGTCTGCTTTGTGAGTTTGACATTCTCCCTCATAATCACTATGACGAGCTCACTTGACTTGGGATTCGCCAACCAGTTTTCAGAAATGTTCATCCCTGCCACCTGGTGGCTGGCGCGAAGAACATTTGGCCTGCCCAGATCCATCTCGGCCCTAGGCATCGAAAACCCGATTTGCCTGCCGGACTTGCAGGCGGGAGTTGGGAGGGGTGTTCTTTCGTGAGGCGGCTTTGCGGGTTTTGCCGGGCCCATGTTAGCATCACGCCCTCAAAATTACCCGGGCTATTTGGTGGTTTGAAGGGAAACTCTGACTGGGACCCAAGAGTGGTGTTGAGAAGCCCGCAACATGTAAAGCCTAGGTTAGGGCAAACCGGAACAGGTGATTCTGAAGCCCCTGGCTCGGGCGTGTTTTTTGGAGGATCCCGCATTGGTTCGACCCCAAAATGTAAGGGATCCTGAACTGGAGCTGGGACCCCTCATTGGTATGGTACGGTGTCAGCGCCGCGGAGGGATTCGTGGTGGTTTCACTTTCTGGGCATTTGTGCCGCAATCAGGCGATGTACATCATACACGGGGATTCCTCTCTCGTGCGAAAAGTAAAGCGATTTGCTATTGAGAACACGCTCACCTTCTAGACTCAAGTCTTATCGTGAGTCGGCTCTTGCCCGAAGTTGTTTTCGTGCCTTGCAGTATATTGATGTGTGTCTTGGAACGGGAGACCCTGAAACGGGAGGTGTCCTGCTGGTTTCCCTTGAGCTTGCAAACCACCAACAAGAGGGCGCCCTGACTCAAAAGAACACATATATACACATATATGTATATATATATATATATATATATCAAGGCTCCCTATGTTGCCCTGCAGGGTGGTTTTGAACATCATCTTTTGTGCTAAATATCCAAGCTTCACCGGGTGCTATATAGCCCGTTTTTGCGTGTTTTGTCTGTTATAGTAGGAATGTGTTATAATGTGTTGTTGTTTTTCCTGAGCCTACATTCAGTTTTGCACCCGTTGAATGGGAGGCATGAAGCCAACGGTTCTGTTGGGAAGCTTGCCATGAAACCAAATCATCGCATATCCCTTTTTCAGCTTGGTGAACAAACTCATTTGACATCGTTTGGCGGCTTCCACGTGACGTGTGGCTCCTACTGTTTGAAGGAGAGCTTCCTGTACCAGACTTGTCCTACACAATGATTCTGCTAAGATTGTTTTTTTCTGGCGTGGAATGATGGGGTCCCAGACGCTATCAGTGGCTCCCTGCTGATTGAGTTCGGTCAGCGATTGTTTCTTGCAGGGTGAATTGGTTTAGACAACCAGGCCATCTGAACAGCAAACTTCAAGGAAGGATTAGCTTACCTGTTTAGTTTCCACAAGTTAAGCTGTTTCATTGCCAGGTTCTTTATTTTGATCTGGGGCTTTTTTCGTTTCTAGCCAGTCAACTCAGCAGGTCATTTAAGCAGGTGTGCTGTTGTTGCATGTCTTGAGCAAACGGTTGAATATGATTGCCCTGCCTATTCTTATAGCGAGCTAAGCTGGGGGTTTAACGAGCTCACCATGGGAAAAGTCCTTTACTTGGATCCATTCCTTAATTCAGCTTTGGAGTCATAGCAACATTTGCAGTATGGTTGAATCGCTCATGGTTTCTCCGACATTTGGCTGACCGGTGGGAACCATCGATTTGCATCGAGGGGATCCCGGTGATCAACTCCTATGATGGCACCGTCTACGCCGCCAGCCCCTTTGCGAGCAAATCGGAGTGTGACCCCAAGTTGACATCCTTGGACCTCTTTTGGGCTCATTTGTGTTTAGGTCTGATTCCGGCAGTTGTGCTTTCCATGTTTTGATGTGTTTGGTCAGGTTGGCGTTGTGTTTGTTTCTTGCTGGTCAGGGAATGAAGCATGCCCCCGAACTCGCGCCCTTTCTTCCTATGCGAGGCTTTCCGATCACGTTAAACAGTAGTCTGTGTACTTGGATTTTGGTCGTGTATGCGCTCGCGTTTCAGCCAAGCGGTCGGGTATGCACTCGCTTTTCCCCACCACAGCCCTATTTATCGACCGCATCCCCATCCACAGAATCATTTGCCCCACCTGCCCCACCCGCATCCCCATGAACGCGATCACTTGCCGCCGCCCCACCCCACCCCATCCACCCCACCCCCACCCACCAAACCCCAGCCCCCCCCCCCTCCCCACTATTGATCTCACTGCGTCCGCATTCCCATGAACGCATTTAGGACCACCCCACCCGACCCAGCCCGTCCCACTTCAGCCCGTCCCACCCCGCCCCACTGACTGACTCGCCCCCTCTCCACCACGCATTGATTTGTAACATGCAGCGCTCTGAGTGTAATCATTGCCCCCCCCCCTCAGCCCCCAACCCCACCCCTACCCACCCCGACCCCACCATAGCCCTATTTGTCTTACTGCGACTGCATCCCCAAAAACAGAATTCTTTCTTTTTTTGGCGCGAATGTATTTATTCACCCCAACCCCCCACCGCCACCCCGCAGCCCCACTCCTTTCCACCCCACCCCAGATGATTGCACAAGTCTGCTCAAGCTTCAAATCAGAAACTCTCCCCGCCTTGCCCGACTTCTGCCCACCCCTAGATGAACCCCCGCCCAGGGGGTGGCTTTCAGCTGTCCAGGTTGGACCCCGCCCTAAGCAATGGATTAGCAATGGTACGGAAAGGGGTGTGTGTGATAAGGGATCTAAACGTGCATTTGCGGGTGCAAACGTAAGTCATGGAGCACATGGCGCAGGGCCCACGCTTTTCCCCCCAGTTCAAGTGGTGTACAGGTCTGGAACCTCAGGGGCGTTAGGCGTAGGCAACAAGAATGATACGAGGCCCCACGCAGCCTGAGGCGCCCATGCCGGCAATCTCACAGCCATCCGCGACCTGAACGGTGATGGAATTATCCAAGAGTCAGAGACCAAGGCGGGGCTGGAAAAAGGGGCTGTTTCCCAACAAGGTCTATGTGTTTTTTCACGGTGGCCGTATTTGGCATTGTTCGCACAATCCAACCGACTAGATGACCAGTTTGGTAGCGTAAGGTGCAAGCCAAGCATCAGTGAGAGGATCAGGTCTGCAAACGTGGAGTTGGGATTTCCATTATGGAAGTGGATCCCCCTTTTTGAGAATGGACCAATGGAAGTAATACGAGTTCCTCTTGTCCACTTCCATGATAATTGGACGGTGAGAACATGCAGATGCCACTGGTTTTAGTTGGCTTTAGTCATTCACCAGTATCCCAGTGTGTTGTTGCACAGGACGCCTAAGTTGGCATAAGTTTGCCCTACTTCTTGGGAGAATGTGCTCATGGGACTCAGGTTGCAAGCTGATCCTGGATGGGTGGATGGGAGGTGATGAGACCCCTGATGCGTAGAGTTGCCAGGATAGGACTGACGAATTCAATCAAGGCGGCGTGTCAACATAAAGATTCGAAATTCGGGCGCCCCAAAGAAACGGTTATGGTTGTTGATGTCCCTTCAAGCCAACCGCAAAAGGGTAGCGAGCCTCAACACAAACACATGATCTGGGGCCCAAAGCCGGGGTCATGGCTGGCATTGGCTGGCGCTGGCCTCATTGGAAATGACTGCAAAACAGTGGCTTCACCCCAAACTACCCCAAGATTCACTGCTCTTGGCACCCTCTTGTTTGTGGCTTCAAGTTAAGACCGTGGATGCCAAAAAGAAGGTGTTGGCATGCCAGGGTAACCGGATTGCTTAGTTGCATTCTGTCCATTTTTTCGAGGGGTGTCGCTATTGCGTGGTGAAGGTGCCTGACATGGGGATCCCGGAGTTCCATGATTGGAGTCTGACTCACCCCTGTTGCGTGTGTCCTTATTCTGGGGTAACAATTCCCACAATTGCCAAGGGTATCCGCAAATATATTTGTGTACAAGCACAATCACATAGCTTTGTTTTGAGCAGGAACCTGACTTATGTTTGGTTCATCCGGCGATGTTGACAGATGGTATTGAGCAACTATAATAGGAGGACGTAGTTAAGCAAGGGAGCTTCGGCTCTCTCAAGGGTTGAAGGTGATCAAACCTCAAGCTACAAGAACTTCATTTGAAGCAGAAATGGGGCTCAACCGCAAGATGCCAAAAGGTGTAGAAACGTGACAAGCAGTTTCCTTTTGCAGACAACTTCCCAAATCGGCCAACGGTTTTCTGAGGCACCCATGTTTCCAAAGATTTGGGAGCAAGGCAGTTTCCGGTCGTGAATCTGGCGAGGTCTTCAGCCCTGGGATTGCTTTCCTGAACTCGCCCTCCTGGGCTCCCGGCATGGGGGTGGTTGCCCCCTGCTGGGGCCCCATGTACGTCTTCAAGAGCTGAGACCGGGCGCTCGGAGCGCGCGCATGATGAAGTGATGCGGAACAAGCTTTGCTGGTAAACAAGTTATAGTGCTTTACCAAAGCCTCGATGGTTTCCGACTGCTGAGGAAGTGAGTCCATCTGCCTTCTCGCACGTAAGACGCGAGGAAAAGGGATGGAGTTATTTCATGCAGCCAGAGGCCAATCAGAACCGGCTGCCAGCCTCCCATGTTTGTTTTTCTTTTTTTCTTTTTTTTTTCCGTGATATCAGTATTGGAGAACCCCCCCTATTCACAGTTTTGTGTCAAAACTGAGCGCGGAAGCGAGAGAACCCTTCTCGCCCACCGAGCTATTCCACTCGATGGTCAGCCTTTTGTTGAGTGAGATATCTTTGGACATTCAGCCGGTCCGCTGGCTACGGATACACGAAATCCAATGACATGTGCTTGGGTCATAGGACCTATGGAGGGAGCCCTTGTTCAGGAATTTCCTACTTTAGGACTTGAAGTCTGAGACGTTGGGCAGGTCCATAGCCTCGTTACGTTGCGAGAAAAGAGGAGCTTGAGAAAGGTGGTCTTGGCATTTATTCCCCATTATTTCCAGCCATTGGTGCTCCATGTTGTTCGATGGCTTCCCGGAAAGAATGATAAAGTTTTCGACCGAGTAGAGGATATGAATGTTTGCAGGCACAAGTGCTGTTTCAACCGCCGAAGAAGCGCCCGCAAGAGAGCGGAGCGCGAGCAAAAGACAGCGAGTTGCATGTAGGCACCTCTGACGCCAGGGCCGCGTGCGAGTGGAAGGCTTCTTTGTCAACCAGATGCTGCCGCAGGACGAAAGAGATGCCCAATGGTCAGCGGAATCCCAACCCTGCTGGCTATAAGTGGGTCAGGGGTTCACGGACATATGTAACTCGTACCAGCTACTTCAGCTTACTTCAGTAGGTTGTATATATCTCAAGCCCATTCAATTCAAATCAAAGAAGGTCCCTTGTTTTTCCAGGAGGGCTGGACAGTTGATTAGGACACGCACGGAAGCCTTGAACTACCCTTTCACATAGGCAAAGGGTCAAGGCCCTTATGGCGGCTTGTTTGTCCCCAACTTAGACAGATAAGCCTTTTTACCCACAGGCTGATGAAAGATGCTTTTTTGAGAGGCTCCCTGATGGAGACTCCGTGCGCGTGTGTAGAAGAAAGGTCGAAGGAGCTCGCCGCAGGCGATTGGCCTGCAGCTCCCCTCCTCATTTGCGCAGGCCCCAACTAGAAGCCAGGTGCTAGATCTTGCTAAATTGCTCATTTATTGTTTCTCCCAAATGTAAGCAAGAGGGGAATGTTTGTTTTATGTTTCCCGGGCCCTGTTTAGCACAGCAAGCTTTGTCCAAAGCTGACTGTTTGACCTTTTGGCTTTGCCGTGCTTTGTCCATTACCAAGGGCCCACAAGGTTAACCTCGCATTTTCCTGTGGTTGTAGAAGCATTTCATCCGTCAGATCTTTGAACTAGGTGTGTCGCTTTTCGGCTGTACCCATTTGTTTTGAAGGGAAATCAAGGAAACCACCCATGTGTTGGTCAGGGCCAGTTTCTGATTAAAAGGACCGCACGGAACGCGACCTAGAGGGGGCCATAGTTCTGACAAACGCACATGGCTTGGGAGAGGAAGGTCTTGTTTTCGATGAGTTGCCAGGTTCTAGCGTTTGCTTCTCCGTTCTTTTCAAGGATCCTTCTCTCCATCATCCAACAGCCAGGGGGAAACTTCGGATGTTTGAAGAGACCCATGGATGAACAGACTGAACAAGGAGTCAGCCTGTAGACATCCTAAACCCAAAGCTCTCAAACAGAATGGGTTCTGTTGTTTCCAGTTTGTGCTGGTTCGCAACTGGGTTTTGGAGTTGCAGGTTGGGCATCCCCCCATGGGCCCCATAAACCCTTTTGACTCAACGCAGGACTATGGCGTGGCGTTTCTCGGCAAGTGGCCTGGCAAAAGATTAGTGGGCAAGAGGGAGTGGAGCTCCTTGGGCTTCCGCTTGACATTGCAATGCTTGATTTGCTATTGAGTTGGATCTTTAGACTGTAACTTTTAGGGACAAATCCGAGTTTTCCAAATTTAACCCACAAGTTAACTGTTTGCAGAGGGGTCAACAACCAAGAAGGTGGGGACAACAGGTTGCAAACTGGGAAGGGCCAAGGAAGCGGCTCCTCTCCCTCGGTTTTTTGGCACCCGAGAGGTCAAACCTCACATGAGCCGAGGGATACGCCGGACGACTCCAGCATGCTCCAGTTCCTCTGCGGCGTCCTCCTGTCCCTGCGCCTCGCCCGGGCAAAGCTTTAGCCGCTTGGGGCGGGGAATTTTGGCCCACGGGGCCTGGAAATCCAGTCGAATCCCCGAACCAAGGGTGGCATCATGTCGCATCAAAGGAAAAGAAAGGTTCATTTGAGGCTCACACACGTTTGTGTCCAAATAGGCGCTTTCAAGAACGGTTTGTTTCGCACCCTTTGGGTCTGAAACAATTGAAAAGCCTCTTCGCCCCTTCCCGACTCCTCCTTTTGCGGGGCAAGCCTGGGTCAGAGATTTGAAAAGCCAAAGGGTGCCAAGGGACCTGAAGTGTCGGTGGAGTTCAGGCGCTACCTTGGCCTTCCCCCCCCCCTTGGACCTTGGAGGAGGGGTTCCGAGAGTTTCAGGAGGAGAGTTTCCTTGTTAAGTTGACGTGAAGTTGTTTGTGTCCTTCTGGCCTTCAAGACCTATGCAGGCAGAAAAACTCTGCCATTTCTTGACCAAACCGGAAGTTCCTTTGAAGGATTCAGGTCGCTTCTCCATAATATGTTTTGTTCTTTGAATTCGGGGTTGGGCTTTGGTTTGGTCTACCGTTCCTTTCCCGGGGATGGCAAGCGTTACAAGTGTGCGGATGCGGAGAGAGCTCAAGGGAAACAATTCCCTCGCAAGTGTCAGGTTCATGTGTGCCATCCTGGCCCTCGCCACTGGGGCCGAAGACCTGAGGCGTGGGCATTTTTTGTTCTCGCGGCGTACGAGCTCACGAGCTCGTCATGATGTAGGTCTACTTGGCTTTTTGGGTAAAAAGTTGCAGCGACATTCTGTCCATGTTGAGAATCACATTTGCCAGCTGCTTTGGAGGACCCCATCGTGAATATTTTTTCTGGGGCAGCCTTTGGGGGAACCAGCATGGACACACACACACACACACACACATGCTCACCCTGCCTTCCACCCACGCAGCCTTTCTGCGCGAACACATGCATGGGGAGGGGGGACAGCGGCGGTGGTTAACGCAGCCCCTATGTAGGTTTTGAACAGAAACTATAAAGCTGGACGCTTTTGCTTTGCGAGTTGAGAGGCCGCCGCGTATGAAGCTGCACGCAGGGGCAAGCTCCACTGAGTGCAGGGTAGCCTTTGTGGGGGAAACGGTACGGATTGTATATTTGCCTGGCTTGGGCTTGGAAGCATTGACGCTGAAGCCGAGCGGCCGCACAGCTTCGGCTGTCCGCCGCCTGTGGCACAGCCCATTTGCCGCATCATGGAGTCGCGACGCTGCGATCGGCGATCTCGGCTCACAGTATTGCTGAATTCTCCACCGTGACATGAATCATGAGGTGGTGAGACAATTGAGTGGCAATCAGTTGCACAAACCCTCACCCTATGTCAAAACCAGAACACTGTAGCGTCTCGTCTGGCCAGAGACGACACGTGCGTTTGCGCTCCTGTGCCTGCATTTTCTCCCGTGCGTGCGCCATGGGTGGCGGATGCTGCAAATGGCAGCCAAGCAGAGAAGAAGAGCTGAGCCAGCTGGGCAAACAGATGGTGCGCGCGCCCCGGCAATGGGATCCCACTGGCAAACCCCAGTATTGTTGTGGCTGACAAGTGGGGGATGTGCCATTCAACTGGGAGTCCTTCTCTTCGGGAGTCACCCCCTTTTGTATCCACCAGGTTGAGTGCTGTTGTTTCTACAAATTGGGGTGGCCCCTCAGAAGTTCACCTCCGATTGTGAACTGGGACTGGTTCACAATACAATGCAAACCCTGGTTCCTATCGAAGGGTTTCCTTCCACCCCCTTCATGTGCTTTGCAACTAGCTCTTGGCCGACTTGTTTGGCGAGCTTCACCAGTGAATTGTGTTTTTTTTTAAATCTCGGAGCGCATTCGGCGTCCGAGGCCGCGGAAACCAAGAGCTCGCGCTGGCAACTCTGCAGCTCAGAGATTCAGGACATGGCCATCGCCATGTGTCAGACTGGTTTCCCTTCCTTCGATGTGTTGGATAGGTCTTGCGACAGTTTTCACATTCCTGAAAGGAACCGCAAAGAGGATGGCTAGTTGTCTGATTTTGCCAGTATATAAGTGAAAGCAATTGTTCAGGGTTCCCCTTCCCTTATGACACACTCAGGTGGGATGTACCGGTGGGGCTTTTCCCTCTAGCCCTTGTTGGCCATACCTCCGGTGGGCCACGTTAAAATCAACTACCAGCAACAAAAGGGTGGTTTTTGACCCCCAAAACGGTGGCTTTCCTTTTGGTTTCTCTTGACAACAATCCAAAACCCTCAAACAGGGACACACCCAAATCGCCTTTCTCTCATGACCACCCGAGGTCTGGGTATTGGTTGGCAGTGAGTGCTGCCAACGATTGGCTCCACCCTAGCAGCACAAAATCATTACCTGCCCTTTGGTTTCTTCCGAAAAGGCAATGCGCAACTCCAAACAGGCCACACAAATGTACGGGGACTAATTGCACCTACTAGGGCGCAGTCGGGCCTTGCCAGTAGGACTGGTAACTCATATGACTGACTGGCTGGCTGACTGAGCCAAGGTCTGGCGAAGTTGAGTCCTAAGTTGCTTGGCTTCCTACATGACCCACGTGGCTTCAAGTCAAGCATCCCTAGCTGGAGCCTTCTGATTGAGTTGTGTTGGTTTTGCTAAGACCTCAGCCAGTCGTGTTTTCACTAGTGGAAGCCTGCTTGCTCCAAGCCCGGTCTCAAGAACCTCGGCAGCTTGGGTCTGTGACCCTCTTGATGCCTCCGGAACCCGGCCGGAGGATTACACGCAGAATCCCCTCCTACAACCACCCGGCCGGGAGTCCTTCATTTCTTCTCCCTGCGTTCTGGAGATCGGAGACCACGTTCACCTTTGGGCCAGCACTGCTAGGCTTGGGAATGCGCTGGTATTCTGCTTCACTCTTAGCATGTGTCTGGTTGGGCGGTCTTGGAAACGTATGTCTATTTCTGCTGCACCAGTTCCTTTGTTTGAGGTGGGTCTCCCACGAAAAGAAGGCGTTCTTTTTGCTGCCAGGGTCACTGGGCAACTGGGTCACGGTAAACCAAGTTGGTGATGGATGTGAGCTTACCTGTACTGGGCAAACCTTGTGCACCTTCAACGTGGGAAACACGAGGACAGGAACAGCGCTTGCGGGATGAGCCATGATCTCTGTTTTGGAATGAATATGGAAAGGCAAGTTCTTTGCTCGGATGTCAAGGTCAAAGAGCTTAACCAGCTCACAGAGCTTGGCACCCGTCTTGGGAAGCTCTGACAGCATTTTGATGTTCGTGCTGGTTCGATCGGCAGGGAATGAGAAATGGAATGACCACCAGGAAAAAAACAAAACATCCCTTGTGGTTTCCCTGTGGGGGTACTGTAGCTAGGTTTATTCCCAAACCTTTCTTGGTTCCCTACCGAGCACCAGCAAGTTTTAAGGGCGAAACATCAAACTGCCAAGGTTCGTTTGCAGTTGGCACAAGCTGAAGACCGCTATTCTGATATCTTGTTTGACATGCCTTTGCGTAGTACAGGTTCGCTAAATCGCGAGTATTGACCAGAATCTGGCCGGTGCAAGTATTGTTTAAACAGTATGCCATTGGTTGTCATTTTAAAAGGAGGCGAGGGGGACTGTTTGCTTCCTAGGCCCAGCATGGTTTGTTCTCCGCGGACGCACCAAACAAGTAGGTGTCCTGTGTGGCAAACAAGCCAGCGAAAACGCGACAAAGGCACATAGGAGGGGCATCTGGTTTCCCTTTCACAGGACCCCCTGCGACCGCGCCGTGGAGGTTTCGTGGGTTCTCGCCAACACCAATTCATATTTCGGTTAACTAGACTAAATATGAAGCTAAGCAGAATCACAAAAAAAGAGGCGTTTCTGAGATGTGGGACAAGAATGGGCCATAAAGGGTGTTCTTTTTGTTTGTTACCTTCCGGGTGAGCGATTGCCGCCCCGGGAAAATGCGCCAGCCGAACCGCGAAGTGGCCAGGGGCATCCTTCACTTCGCCGCCAAGGACGGGGTGAAAGGTGGAAGCCCCCTTTAGGTCGGTTGGATGCAAACCAACGAATTGGCTAGGAACTTACTCGGGAACCCACCTCCAAGATGGTCGGTGGAAAAAAAATCCTCACCCATTTGATGCCCACCACAGGGTCCCTCCTCATAGTCCATATTATGCCTAAATAGTTGTGGGATAGAATGGGGGAAGCTTTATTCTTGTGGTCGTTTGCCGGTGGGTTTCTTTAAAAGCAAGTTCAAGAAGGCTAGCTGGTTCTCAGATGAATGAGAAATGGAATGACACCTAACCATGCCGTGTGGGGGTTGGCCTCCAAGTCGATCAGTCAATCCCGGCACGATTCAGTCCCAAGACTCATGTTGCTTCATGTTGCTCCCCTACCGAACCAGCAAGGCAAGCACAAGAAACACGCACCCAAACAGGTGAGGCTTTTCGTGCAGGTACCCTTTTCAAGCTTGGTTTCAAGGGAAAGTAACCAGAAAGCCGCCATTTTCTTATTGGTTCTCATGGAATTTCGGGAATGACCCCTATAAACCATCCAACTGGTGGTTTCCTGTAAGGGACCCCCCAAGTTCGCCGGTAGGACCCCCTTAGCCGAGCCCAGCGCCAGGACGGTTTGTGTGGCTGGGTGCTGGTAGAGCTCACGGTGGACCTTCCCGGCGCCACGAGGCCTTCGGTGCGGAGCGAGGAGAGTGTCGTGCCCTTTGGCGGAGAGAGGCGGTCGGCGCGTTTTGGGGGCGGGTTTTGGGGCGGGTTTTGGTGGTTGGTTGGTTTTGCGCGTTTTGTGGAGCAGGGCGGGGTTTTGGTGGTTGGTTGGAAGAGGCGCGTTTTGTGGAGCAGGCCTGGGTTTTCCTGGTTGGTTGGTTTTGCGCGTTTTGTGGAGCAGGGCGGGGTTTTGGTGGTTGGTTGGAAGAGGCGCGTTTTGTGGAGCAGGCCTGGTGGTTGATGGTGGTTGCTTGGTTTTGCGCGTTTTGTGGAGCTGGCGGGTTTTGGTGGCTGGTTGGAAAGGGCGCGTTTTGTGGAGCAGGCGGGTTTTGGTGGTTGGTTGGTTTTGCGCGTTTTGTGGAGCTGGCGGGTTTTGGTGGCTGGTTGGAAAGGGCGCGTTTTGTGGAGCAGGCGGGTTTTGGTGGTTGCTTGGTTTTGCGCGTTTTGTGGAGCAGGCGGGTTTTGGTGGTTGCTTGGTTTTGCGCGTTTTGTGGAGCTGGCGGGTTTTGGTGGCTGGTTGGAAGAGGCGCGTTTTGTGGAGCAGGCCTGGGTTTTCCTGGTTGGTTGGTTTTGCGCGTTTTGTGGAGCTGGCGGTTTTGGTGGTTGCTCGGTTTTGCGCGTTTTGTGGAGCTGGCGGGTTTTGGTGGCTGGTTGGAAAGGGCGCGTTTTGTGGAGCAGGCGGGTTTTGGTGGCTGGTTGGAAAGGGCGCGTTTTGTGGAGCAGGCGGGTTTTGGTGGTTGCTTGGTTTTGCGCGTTTTGTGGAGCTGGCGGGTTTTGGTGGTTTCTTGGTTTTGCGCGTTTTGTGGAGCAGGCGCGTTTTGGTGGCTGGTTGGAAAGGGCGCGTTTTGTGGAGAAGGCGCGTTTTGGTGGTTGCTTGGTTTTGCGCGTTTTGTGGAGCAGGCGGGTTTTGGTGGTTGCTTGGTTTTGCGCGTTTTGTGGAGCTGGCGGGTTTTGGTGGCTGGTGAAAAGGGCGCGTTTTGTGGAGCAGGCGGGTTTTGGTGGTTGCTTGGTTTTGCGCGTTTTGTGGAGCTGGCGGGTTTTGGTGGTTGCTTGGTTTTGCGCGTTTTGTGGAGCTGGCGGGTTTTGGTGGCTGGTTGGAAAGGGCGCGTTTTGTGGAGCAGGCGGGTTTTGGTGGTTGCTTGGATTTGCGCGTTTTGTGGAGCTGGCGGGTTTTGGTGGTTGCTTGGTTTTGCGCGTTTTGTGGAGCCGGCGCGTTTTGGTGGCTGGTTGGAAAGGGCGCGTTTTGTGGAGCAGGCGGGTTTTGGTTGCTCGGTTTTGCGCGTTTTGTGGAGCAGGCGGGTTTTGGTGGTTGGTTGGTTTTGTGCATTTTGTGGAGCAGGCGGGTTTTGGTGGTTGCTTGGTTTTGCGCGTTTTGTGGAGCAGGGCTGGGTTTTGGTCGTTGGTTGGTTTTTCGCGTTTCGTGGAACAGGCGGGTTTTGGTGGTTGCTTGGTTTTGCGCGTTTTGTGGAGCAGGCGCGTTTTGGTGGCTGGTTGGAAAGGGCGCGTTTTGTGGAGCAGGCGGGTTTTGGTGGTTGCTTGGTTTTGCGCGTTTTGTGGAGCAGGCGGGTTTTGGTGGTTGCTTGGTTTTGTGCATTTTGTGGAGCAGGCGGGTTTTGGTGGTTGCTTGGTTTTGCCCGGTTTGTTGAGCAGGGCTGGGTTTTGGTGGTTAGTTGGTTTTTCGCTTTTTGTGGAGCAGGCGGGTTTTGGCGGTTTTGGTTGTTTTTGCGCGTTTTGTGGAGCAGGCGGGTTTTGGTGGTTGGTTGGTTTTGCGCGTTTTGTGGAGAAGGCGAGTTTTGATTGTTGGTTGGTTTTGCGCGTTTTGTGGAGCAGGGCTGGGTTTTGGTGGTTGGTTGGAAGGGGCACGATTTGTGGAGCAGGCGCATTTTGGTGGTTGGTTGGAAGGGGCGCGTTTTGTGGAGCAGGCGGGTTTTGGTGGTTGGTTGGTTTTGCGCGTTTTGTGGAGCAGGCGGGTTTTGGTGGTTGGTTGGTTTTGCGCGTTTTGTGGAGCAGGCGGGTTTTGGTGGTTGGTTGGTTTTGCTCGTTTTGTGGAGCAGGCGCGTTTTGGTTGTTGGTTGGAAGGGGCGCGTTTTGTGGAGCAGGCGGGTTTAGGTGGTTGGTTGGTTTTGTGCGTTTTGTGGAGCAGGGCCGGGTTTTGGTGGTTGGTTGGTTTTGCGCGTTTTGTGGAGCAGGGTTGGGTTTTGGTGGTTGGTTGGTTTTGCGCGTTTTGTGGAGCAGGGTTGGGTTTTGGTTGTTGGTTGGAAGGGGCGCGTTTTGTGGAGCAGGCGGGTTTAGGTGGTTGGTTGGTTTTGTGCGTTTTGTGGAGCAGGGCCGGGTTTTGGTGGTTGGTTGGTTTTGCTCGTTTTGTGGAGCAGGCGCGTTTTGGTTGTTGGTTGGAAGAGGCGCGTTTTGTGGAGCAGGCCTGGGTTTTCCTGGTTGGTTGGTTTTGCGCGTTTCGTGGAGCAGGGCTGGGTTTTGGTGGTTGGTTGGTGTTGCGCGTTTCGTGGAGCAGGGCTGGGTTTTGGTGGTTGGTTGGCGCGTTTAGCGGAGCAGGGTTCAGGTTCGATGGGATTTGTCGTTCTGGTGGTAAGGGAGCTGGACGCGGACTCGGAGCTGATATCCAAGTTTGGTTTTACAGAGGGACCGAGGTAAGTACCAGGAGTTCTGGAAGGACATTGTAGGTTTGAGGGGCTCCCTTGGTCATGTGGGAAGTTGGTTTGGTTGAGCGACCTTCCAAAAGACCATGTCCAGCCACTCGAGTGCTTGGACATGGCTTCGGGTTGTTGGCCCTGCCGCATCCAACATTAGCCCAGACCGCGCTCCACAGCTTAGCATGGATCATCACAATCTTCCGCCGCCACCATCACCACCTTCACAGGTCAACCCCGAAAAGAGTTCTCTTTTCTTGTTGCCCAGGTCACTGGGCAATGGGGCGTGGCCACAGGAAGAACCGGTTTCCGAAATAGCTGGCAGCGGCCTTTCCGCAAAAGAACTGAGATCTTCCTCCTCAGAGCCTATGTGAAGAGCCCATTGAATCAACATCTCCCAAGAAGCCAAAACGGAGACACTATATTGCCAAACCTATGTGGCACTTCTCAGGTCCTTCCAAGCTAGATGGAGATCAACAACATGCTTTTGGGCTTGGAAAACATGGGACTCGGTCTCCCAGAAAAATCCAATTGACGCATCCAGTCTCCAAGCTGAGGTACCTCTTCTACGAGACCGAGGGCCGGGTGTGTCAGATGTCGGCGCGGCCCCCGTGCCAAGTCTTCGCCCTGGAGGAGTGGCTCTGGAGCGAGGCGCAGGAGATCCTGGAGCCGGAGCTGGAGTGGGAGACGCTTTGGAGTGCAAACCGGCCAACCGGATGAAAGGGGCGCCCCTTAAAAGGAACATGGTTTTATGGACTTAAGACCATTTGTGGACTTCTCACAGGGGGGTTATTGTTCCCTCCAAGAGTGATGATTCCATATGATTCCCACCAACCGAGGGCCGCACCTACGAAACGGTGATCTTCAACGGAAGCCTTTTTTGGCCACCATTTTGGGGGTACCCTTCGGTCACTGTTGAGGTTTAAACAGTTTTAGTTCTATATATGAACAGTTTGGACTTGTTTGGGCCCATCCACTCGGGAAGTGAGACAGGGGGTCCCGGGGTGGTTCCCTCCAATGGTGATAATTCCATATGATTCCCACTAACCTAGGGACAGCCCCCTTTTTAGCAAATCTGTGTTGATCAATTAGTCTGTTGTTCGCGTTGCCATGGATATCACTGCCATGGGCCCAGAAAATTAGGGACCCTTAACCCAGCAAAGGGGCCACATCTTGACTTGGTTGAAGGTTTTTAGACTTTTTTGGGACATGTCTTTCCTGCACAGCCAAGAGTGAAACACTTTATGGAGCCTTCCAATCCGACCATCAAAGCGAGGTGAATGTTAGTAAGTGCCGGTCCCGGCCCCGGCTTTTTTCTGGGTGCCGAAATCCGCCCTTAGAAGTTCTCTACATTGGTTGCACATCTGCATGACCTGATTAATGGAACGGGAGGGTGGTCCAAATCCATTTCGACGGGGGTACCTACGCTTCCCATGGTTCCCATGGTTTCGGCTTGTTTTCGGAGGGGGGTGCCCCTTCAAAACAATCTACCAAACATGGTGCCGCTTTTTGCCGTTGGCCTTCGGAAGTTGTTCCCACTTCTGCGAGACCACCCCTTTTGCGTGGAAAGACTGTAGGTAAAAAGTGAGTTGAGACCCAGAAAGTAGGCCCTGAAGCAGTGGAGGCGCACTTCTTGGCTGAGTTCACCGCTTAAGCGGCTGGAAGTTGACTATGTCAGTTGTCCAATTATTAGGCGAGCTCACCGAGCCGGGGGTAGGCGGAGCTTGCCCATTACCCAGCAAGTGAGATACTAAGCACATCTGTGAGAGCGTGTGGTTTTGCGAGGGCGCCGTTTTCATCTCTGTTTGAAAGGAAGCTACCATTTCGGGGGTCCCAGTGCCTAGTCTGACACATGCCCCAATGGATTGAAGCATTTTGCCCCCAAGGAAGGTGTGCGTTGCACGGGTGGGCAGCCCCTACGTTGCCTACGACTGTCAGGGCGAGACTCGGGATTTCGCAGATTACGCGCGGCTTTCAATGAGTGTTGGTCAGTGTTGGTGTCCCGTTTTGGTCCATGTTTGCAGGGTCCCTCAAAAATGTTTGCTAGTTGAAAAAAGAAGTCTTTACCAGTAAGACTCGCGGATTTTCATGTATCAAGTTGTTTTTGGATGTATCCTCTAAGGAACCCTGGTCTGCAAAAGCTTGCTGTCCAGGCCCTTTGGGCATCTTTCATTTTCTTAGGAGGGAACATGGGTTGCCCTTGAATGGGCAGAACATGGAGTCGGCCCCAAGGGTTCACGGGTTCTACCGTCAGTAAAGGCAGCGAGCTGAAATGGGGCTAGGCAAAAAAGACAGCTTTGCAAGCTGGTGAGCATCCCTCGAAGTCGTTCTCGATGTTTAACAGGGAAATATGGGGAACCCTGAATAGTTAGGCAATTCCGCCGATCCGGGGAAAATACCAGGTCATGATGTAGGTCCTTTACTTGGGCTCACTTCACGAATTACAGCAGACTCAAAAGTAGAGGCTCCCCCCCAAAATGTGTTTGTTATTCCGCTTGTCTATTCAATCCATCCAACTGGGGGTTCCCATGTTGAGACGCACCCATGCATGAAACGTGGTTGACGCCAGGATGTGCTGACAACTGCCAAACTGGATTGCGCTGGCCTGCTCATGGCCTTATTACCTGAGTTGTTTGACGTTTGTTGGGTAAGAGCTTTTCAGTAGCAAACGAAACTACAGTTCTGCATGTGTTTCCTCAAAATTGATCTTAAACGGGTTCCGTCTGATCACCAACCAAAAAAGGAGTCCCCCATTTTGAGATTTCAAGCCTTGGCCCCCCACCCCCCCCACAAATCTGGCACGCCTGAGGACCGCTGGCTCTTGTTCTATTCGGCCTCCGCCACCCTCTTGGACAGCATCTTCACTCTTCTTGGCTTTTTTTTGAAGTACCCTCTCTCCCGCTAACGTGGCACCTGAGAGGGGGTCCCTCCAAGGAGGAAGGGTCACATTTGTTCCTCGCAGTTTTAAGAAAGTCTTGGGGCGGTCAGCGAAGATCTGCTTTTGCTCACTTCGTGTCCAAGGTCCTGTCTTCCTAACATGTACAGGGGTTTGGTCCTTCTTTGTTCTCTTCGCATTTTAGTTGGGGGCTGCAAGAGCCACAGGTTGCAACATACAATATAGTTATGCTTGTTTTGGTTCGGTTTCTGGTTCTTGAGTTCTGTTTCTGGTTCTACGACGTTTGCTCCCTTTTCGGCGCTCTCTGGTTCCGACTTGGGGCAGACCTCTCGGACGAGGCATCCTGCATCCCCTCTTCAGCAGCGTCGCGGCGGCGGAGTCCATCGACGGACCCTACCGAAGACTTCAGGCGAGGAGTCCACGGGTCCTCTCAATGCGCGTCTTTGTTTTTGCCTTAGTTGTTCAGTGGCACCCTTTTCCCCCCTTTTTTTTTTGGTGGCTGCTCCACTAAAAAGGGTCTTCCCCAAAAAGGGTTTCCTTTTTTCCTCCTGGGTCACTGAACAACTGAGTTGCTGGTCTGACTGGGAAGCCAAAGCGAAAGCCATCATTTTGAGCGGTCGCCCCAACCTCCTGCAGGGCAAACCGATGTGAAAACCATAATGTCGGGCGGTCTCCCCGATTTTGAGACGCACACAGCGCACTATGCGTATGTATGCGGGCATAAATATGTTTGCGCAAGAGAAGCAGTAGAGATGCGATTTGCTTCCTGCAGATGGTACCGCCCATCATACTGCAATTGTCCCATACTGTGTTTTGCAGAGGCAGCGTTGTCGCATTGCCCTATGCAGCATGAACACGATCAAAAGGGAGCAATCACTGCCCTATTCTTCACCCACCAGGCAAGGCGGCCAGTCAACTACTTGCATGCTCTTCATGGCTTTTGCCTAGGTGTGTCTTTTCAGGTAAGTTGGCTTGAACATAGATGGATTCCGCTGGTTTCAGCTCGTTTACTCATTACCGGTCTACCCTAAAGGGTTCCCTGAGACACCACACACACACACACACACACACGCACAAGCGCAAGCGCGAGCGCACGACCTTACCCGCACTCCCACGCGAAAACGCACGCAAGCAGGCATGCACGCACAGACACGACCCCGTTGCCAGGAGAAACCACTCTTCGGGACAGCGGCGGGATCGCCACAGGTGATCGGTGTGGGCCTGAGCCATTTCCAATTCGCACCAAAGGGAGCCGCGAGGCGGTGATCTTTATCGGTCTTCAATAGCCCGTGGAAGTTTCTCCCTTTCACATTGCTCTGAATCAGTATAGTTTGCTATTGTTTACGGGGAAGACATGGAAAGTCAAACCACATGCCCCACAATCACCAAGCCAAGTTTCCCGTGCCCTCTTGGGAAACAAACGATCTTGTGCGCCCTCAAACCGAACCAGGCTGGGTGTGTGGTTGCTTTCCTTCTGAGCAGCTTTTGATCCCGGAGTGGGGCAAAGCCGTCGCCAATCGCATGCGCTCGCGTGAAAGGCCCGGAGATCAAACTGCATGCCTCCCTTCCCTTCCCATTTTTGGGCTGGTTCCCTGATGATGGGACATTTTGGGATTGAGGGCCAGCTTTTGTGTGATACCAGGCGTATCCCCTGAGTGATAGGATAATAGGATGGTCATTCTGGCGATGACCCACTTTGGCACCAACAAAGTTTATATGTCCCACCACCATGCCCTGTGCTGCAGTTGTCCATCAAACAATTGGAGAAGCCTCAAGGAGTTTGAGCTGTTGTAAAGCCCAGGCGACCTACCTGAATGTCAACCGCCAAACACTATGTGCAGCAAGCAACTAGCTGGCGCGCACTGCATTGGGTCAACATCCCAGTATCTTCCGGTCATTTGTAGTTTGTCAATTTTAATGTCTTAGGCTTGAGCCACTTTTCAGGACCATTTGAGCAGCAAACAAACAGTTTGGATTGCCTTTTGGCCATTATAGCTTTTTGGAAAATAGAATGGTTTCCCCACTGCAAATGACCGTTTTGGCCAATCCACTGATCAAAGATCCGATTTGAAGCCTTGCTTTCGGGCGCCTCGGCTCGAGGCGCAGGCTGCTTCAAGCTGATCCACGGCTTCGACAACATGGAATTCCAGGATGCGAGGGCCCCGCCTTGTTAGAGCCTTCCCTTCGGGCGCCAAGGTTTGGTTTCTCCGCAGCTTTGACGTGGGTAGGTTCCGTTTTGTGCGGGAACCCTTCTTTTGGTGGTGTAGAGGGGACCAAAAGGTTTCCTTTTGTCCTTGGGGGTAGTGTGGTGCCTTGCGCTTCTTTGGGGGGTTGCCTTTGAATTTGCCACAGGTGCGCACTGGAGGCTCAAGGTCTGGGCTTCTTTGGATTCCCTATTCGACCAACAAAAAAGGGCTCGCGTGTCTACCGTCTCTGGGCAATTCGAACACTTGGACTGACCTCCAAAGATCGACATACCAAGAAGCTACAGATTTTGAGGGGGAAACTTGTTTGAGGTGGTCTGGGGGGTTTCTTGACAGAGTTTTTTCCTGGTTGTTTGCATGGAAATTGCTCATTTTGGGCTGGTTTCCCAAGTCGTAAACCAGCTGGCCACCTGCAATTTCGCAATCGTGACACCAAGGAAATCAATCCCTTTGAGGGCTGAGGGGCCATTTCTCCAACCATGTTTCTACCTATTATGTTCGGTGGCAGCCTGTTTTCCGTTTGCTGTGGTGGGGTCCCCACACTCCACATGGGATCAACCAAGCAACAAGGCCTCCAATGTGTTTTTGTTGCATATGGTCACCCTTTCTGTTGATGTGTCCTTTGAAAAGCACCGGTGTCTTTCACGGAATCGACGAGTCGCTTCTCTCGCATGGCGCGCTAGGAGGATGCACCTGCCACGCGGCCCTCCACACCGCACTCGCCCACCACGCCCAGCGCCAAAGCCCAGCGACGTCTTCTGGCGCTGCAGTGCCGCGTGACGCGTAGCAAGGGCGTCACAAGCGCCTTGCTAGCGCCTGGCTTGGGTGGATCTGACTGGGGTTTTCTTTGCTTGTTTGCTTCTTTCTTTGGTTTGTCTTGCGCGTTTTTCTAGGCACATGAAAATACCAACTTACGTTGTAGGGGTAAAACAAGCGATTCCATCCATGATGATCTCTTACATTGGGAACGTTATTTATTTCCAGCCTTGGACTTATAGCCCTAGGGTGCGAAAGTGGTCTTAGGATGCGACTGGGATCTCCTTTGCCCTTTTTCTTTTAGAGAGCTTTCAGGACCAGAAAAAGGGCAGATTCAAGATAGTCATAGCCGGCCTTGGTTGGATCCAGTTTATCCTGAGATCTTGTCTGGCTCGGATCGGCCGTTTTTTTCCTTTGGGCACCGTGATCTATGGGACCCCTGCGGGAGCCATTGCTCCGAACTAGGTCACAACAACAGGTTTCCTCTGGCTTTTCCCATGCACCAGAAACTCGCTGAATGTTTTCGCCTGGTTTTCTTTCCGCGAAAACACCGACCAATCTTCGAGCCTTGCGCCTGCTTTGCGCCTTTGAGTTTACAGGCTCCAGCCTTGCGCTGCTGGCCAGCTCGGACGCCCACTCCTGGACTGAGACTGGGAGACTGGGAGAGGGTGGGCCCAGATTTGACCAGAGAGAGAATTGCAGAGGCACGGTGGCGGGTTGATTCATGAATTCACCCCCTTGTTTTTTTACGCATAGGTTTCCTCGGGGGTTCTGGGTGGTTCTCAGGAAAGAAGGCGCCCAACAAAGAGAGTAAGTTGCCCGTGAGACGTCAACATGGATTGACATTCGTTGAACGCCTACATGAGGATGTTCCAAACAGTTGTTGAAGCATGCTTGAACGGGCAGTTTTGCGCGAGCCTGCGCCGAACTTCCTGTCACCAAGGCGACAGAATTCTCCTTTAGAACGGCAATACGTTCAGGCAGTGTGCTCGTGCAATGACCGCCTTCTGAGTTACATTTGGCGGGGCCACTTCGACAAGTAACCCGTAATTGGAGGTTCGGATTGGCGGTTTGGGGATTTGAGCATGCGGTTGTGCTATGGGGCTTGGCATGCGATCGGCTCTGCTGGTTTGGTCGCGGAACGCGGTCTTCAATTGAAAGCATGGGCAGTTCTACTAGCCAGCCGTCTTGGAGGCTACAATCCTGCCAGCCTTCTCGGATTTGCGTTTACATTTGCCTCCATGCTTTCCTGGAGCGTTGGGCTTAGTTAGGCCAGCCGTAAACAGTTTCGGCAAAGCGAGCTTTCTGCCTACTTTTCCGACTCTGCGCATGCAATTTTAATTACACCTTCAGAGGGGCAAGGCTTCCTTTCAAAATCAACTGCAAACTACGTGACTGCTTTGGGTTGGATCTTTAGACTTTCACTTTTTGGGAAATCATTGGGTTTTCCACCAAGCCCACAAAAAGTTAGACTGTTTGCAGAGTCAACAGCAACCAAGACTAGCATTGCCTTTTCCCCATGGCACTTCACAGGTCTGGGCTTTTGCCCCTTCAGGACTGTTGTAGAGCCTGACTTCCTGCTGCCTACGCGGACAACTGGCTGGAAGAAGGCTTACATTTTCGCCTTTGACACGCTCGCGCCATCCTTCGACCCGGATTATGTTGCTTGGTCGGATTTGAAATGCTTGTCAATGGGAAAAGGGTGCAGTACATGATCCGTAAGTGCGAGGCCTCAAACAGGGTGTATTGCTTTTTTTCTCAAACTTGGTGGCTCCAAGGGAATCCAAAAATAGGGGAACTGATGCCGATTTTGAGAGAAACACCCATACACTTCTCCCAGTCGAAGTGGACATGGATCTTCCGATCCAACGAGAACAGCAGGAGCGGAGCCTGAAGATGGAAGGGTCGACTTCATCACCAAGGTACAATCTTTTGAACAGGTAGCGTTCATTTTCATGAGCTGCCGAGTTGCGGGGTAAAACGAGCTCACCATGCAAAAGGCAATTTTCTTAGGGGATTCCTTATGTCAGGTTATGCAAGGGGATATCATACCGGGTGTCTGCCCCGATGCGGCACGGAGGACTAGCATACATGAAGAGTATGTAATGCTTGAATATTCGCGCTGCCTGCAAGCGATCATGGAGACTGACTGGCGGAAAGCTGCTAGCTTTCCCAGCTCAGGTCTACATCTACTATTCTGCCCGGAGCGGCTACAGCAAGGGAAAGGAGCCCGGCTTGCCCTGGCGATTGAGCTGAGACCGCACTTAGGTGAAAAGAGGCCAATAGATCACCCGAGATAGGCAGCGCAGCAAGGCACGGTTCGCAGAAACCAGCACAAGGTATGCCCTTGGGATGCCAATCTGCAGCCTTGAATAAGTTCGTAAGATAAATAGATCCATGCACAAATGATAGAAATATCTTACCTGCCTACTTCAACTCAACAAAACGCCAGGATTTCGCTGAGGTTGGCAGCCCATTTCGGCGCTGGCCTCTCTTGATCCTATACTCAAGCAGTGACATTGCACATCGTAGCCTAATACTGGCCAGCAGCGACAAGGTTACGGACAATTGAGAAATCACCACCTTCCGAAGGCCCTTGAATCGATCTTGGCCTGCAGCGAGCTTTGACAACATGTTTCAGCTTGCCCCAAACCTGAAAAGGAGATCCCTCTGCGATAAATGGTTTGGGTTCCAAGTTCATTCAGAGAGTAGTGGCCTGGATCCAATGTGCCCTAGAACCTGGCCAGAACCCATGTCTCCGTTAGGTCGCTTCGTGGAGTGCCGGTTGGGGTTTGTGTTTACTGCTTCTGGATGGAGCATGGCGTTGTTTCCTTTTGAGCCTATCACCCAGATGGAATCCTGAGCGACGGCCCGTAGTTTTGGGAAGGCCTGGGGTACACGGTGGCCTTGCGGTTTCGTTTGAACACATCTCATATTTCAAGGTTCACTAAAGACGGATCAGAATCAAACATGTGGGAGTTGCTAAATGATGGATTATCTTTTTGGTTGGTATTTCGAGGAAAGCCTCGAAGGAAACCAACCATTTTAGGGGACCACTATTATTGCGAGCCCCCCTTGTGAATTTTTAGCTGAGGTGCATTTGTTCATGGCTTGAAAGGGACATAGACTCAAGGCGCATTTGCATTTTATCCGACATGTTCTATCCAAGAACTCCGCAATGCCCTTGTTTCTGCTTTGGAAGGGGTGCCGGGCAGCAACTGAGGTACGGTGGATGCCCCATTCCAAGCTTCCGTGATTTGCCCTGATTGGGTTGAGTCTGGTTAGGGTATCCACGGGAGTTGGATGCCATGCTGACCCCACATGAAGAACCGTGGCAATCCTTCACTGAGAGTGACGCCCCACGGCTAGCAAGGGTTTCTTCATGCTGGCTGGTTTTCGGCGCAATTGCAGCAGGAATCTCACCACAAAACAAAGGGATTGCAAAAGGTTGAGCAAGCGGGCGTTTTCCATGCAGCCAGAAAAGTATGGTAAACACTGCTTAGATAAATTATCCGTGAGTTCCCCCCTCCGATTTCTGTTGTTTTTGTCCTTTTCCGCTCCCATTGGCCGCCTACCCTTGGACACGGCTCAACAGCGCCAGGAGACCATCGGCGTCTCGAAGGTGTCCCGGGACTTCCTGGAACTCAGCGCGGGCGGCCCCACAGTTTGCCGTGCCGCCTGAGAAAACCCGCGCGCTGAAGGGCTTGCGAGCCAGGAAAAGAGAGAAGTAGCCAACAGCCCAGTCCAGAGCCTCTGGAAATCTTATCCCCGAGTTCCAGGTGAATTTGCAGGGACCATCCCCCGCTTGTGAGTTTCGGTTCCCCCTTTGGTTGTCGTTCCTGTTTTCACGGGTCACTGGGCGACTGGGCGACTGGGCGACTGGGCGACTGGGCGACTGTTTAGTATTGGCCAGCGAGAACCCGTCCCCAGAGAGATTGGCTTCCGCTGGCCATGGGAATGGCCGGCGCTGAACTGATGAATTTGGCCCATTGAAGCGAGCATGTTGCTGGGTTCAGGATCAATTCACAAGATTGCCCATAGCGAATCGACCTGATTTGTGTTGTAATTTCAGTGTTCCTTTGGGAGGGTCCATGACGCTTCAGTCATGGCCTCAAACGGTAAACCTTGTAATTAGTTCTGGGTCCTTTGGGCAGAGGAACATCAAGGAAGAGAGCTCAGTGGCGGCGCATTGAACATCCCTCTCATTGTCATTTACCAGAAATGCTGGTTGGAGGTCTGTGTTTGCTATCTATTGCCCGGGGTGTTCAAAATGAATCCGCACGGTCCTTTTGTCAGAATCATCTCAACCTTCTTCTTGCGGTGTCCCACTTTGAAGAGCCCTTGTCTTTTTTTGTGATGGATCTCACAATGAGTTGGGAATCTAATGCCATTAAGAACACGAACTCTCACAGGCAAACACCCTTTTAAATAACCAAATTGGAACCGGATCTGGAAGACCAAGTTCTTCTTAAAGTGCCAAAACAACTTTCTCGTGAGCTCCATGACAAAGTATGTGGCATCATTGCTTTAATGGGCCCAGTTGGCGTTGGACAGGGAGCGGTTCACGCCGTTTAAGCACGGCAGATTCGGCCCCTCCGTCCCGGTCTTCAAAGCGAGGGGCGGCTTTTTTCGCGCATCATCGTGGCAGTACTTGGATCCTCCCACCAGAATTCCCCTCCAAATCAACATGGATCCCAAGAATAAAAAGCAATTCTGCTCTCCAAGCATGACTGGTTCCATGTGATAGGCGTCTTCCCCTTGAATTAATTTCTCCTGCGCCCACGATTCGCGTCTTGCGCTCGCATCTTCGCTTCGAAGTTTCTTCGCTTCACTTTCCAACCAGGTCCGAGGCCTTGACGCGCTCCCAGGCTAGAAGTTGGATTTTGTCTCACTCCCTGAGTTCATTTTTGGAAGGAAATGAACAGTTCGGACTTGTTTGGCCAGTCCACTCAGGAAGTGAGTTGGGTACAAGGCGCCTTTGGCGTCGATGGCGATGTGGGGGTTGTATGACTCAACCCCCCGAATTGTAGTTTAGACACGGGGGCTTTGGTGGTGAGGCGTCCCCACCCCTGTAAAACGATAAGAACATAGCGAGAACGTTTTGTAGAACTAGACTTGCAAATCTGCAGCTGGAGCTGCAGAAGTGTACTTTGTTTACCGCACAAGTACCGCACATGTACTGAAAAGTTGCGGTTTCGGGCTGGAGCCACACTTGCACTGAACATTTGCGATTTTCGAGCTGGGTCTGTGGAAGTGCACTTTTGGCAACATTTCGACTCTCGAGCTGGATGCACTTTCTCGTGTTACGTTTGTACTGCAAAGTCGCGATTCCCCTGCAAATCGAAGAAAACGATGAGGACGAAAAGAAGCCAACGTCAAAGAAATAGAAGGGAAAGCATGGGGGGCTTCTACCTACCTGCCCATTTGATTCTTGCCTAAGTGTGTATTTCTCTCATTCGCCGCAAGTCAAAGGTTTTAGGCAGAAACGATCGCCATATTGCACAACTTGCTCTTGCATTGTCCGTTTGGCATGGCATGATCTCATGTGTGCCATGGTCAGCTTTTCTTCTGAGGTTTACCATCCCTGCACTCCGCCAGGTGCAGGACGTGGGTAGCCTGGCTCGTTGGATTTGCGTGACGTCCCAAGAAAAATCAAACCTCCGGGATGCGCAGGAATCGGACCTTGTGGAAGTTTTGCCTGACATATCCTGAGATGCGCAAAAGCAGACGAAGGTTTTTTGTATTCAAGCGCCGGCTATGTGCCAGCATCCTGAGACAGAAGCTGGCGCACAGAAGCTTGTCATGCATTGCACAGAGTACGTTCTCGGCCTTTCGGTACATAAACAACTCGCATGCTTCTGATTTACCGGCTGCATATTGGCACGCCGCTTTACTGCTTGCTTGGCAACCAGGCTCGAACAGTTTGAGCGAGCCTAAGCTGCTCAGCATTTGCCAGAGACGTTTGCCGTCCCAGCCAGACTACTTTAGGCAGCCCTTGGCTCTGGCGCAAGTTGTGTGCAGCTTTGCTTCTTTTGGTGTTGCCCTTGCCGAAGGAGCAGATGAGAGAAACAGCTTTTTTAAATTCCCGCAGAACTTAGGAGCAAATGAGAAGGAACGAGGTTTCCAAACATCAGTCAAGGTGAAAACATTCAAGGATTGAGCCTGCTTGCGTGGGCTCTCCTTGCTAATGAAGGCCGCAACTGCCAGCCGCAATACCCAATTGACGCCGACTCGGTGCGGTGGCGGCCAGGAAGGGGTGAAACCAGAGAGGGCCAATGGCTTGGGTTGGAGACTAATGGGTGATTGGCAGCCAATGGCTTGGTGTGGACAGTGATTTGGATAGGGGCTGGCTTGGGTAGGGGCTGGTGATTGGCTTGGGGGGTTTCACTACTTCCTTCGTAAAAAGTGTCTAGTAGTGGTTGTATGCTCCATTTTCCTTTTTGGTAGCGCCTTGGCTGCAGTGGCATCACGAGTCCGCGAGTTTCCAATGGGGTGGTCGAGCCTTTCTGGGCCTTGAGACTGTCAATCGGGTACAAGCGATGCCGTCCTGATTTGACAGCTCCAAGTCGAATCAACCTTTTGGTAGCCATTCTTTCGCACTGGATGCTAGCCCACAAATTGGGCTAGTCCACCTGAGCCCCTCAGCCCCGACCGCACGGTGAGGTTCGAGGGGCCCATCCGGAAGTACGCCTCGAGGGCTCCTTTTTCCGAATTTTGTTTTGGCAGGGGCTTGCCCTTTAAAGCCAAGACAAGGGTGCCGCCTGGGCTCCTGGTTAAGCGGATGTGCAACTCCCTCTGATATGATTTTTGTATGGGTCAAAATTAAACCACCACGGAACCGCAGGTTTGAGTCGTTGTTTCCATTTGCCAGGGATCCATTTTGGGTACCTATTTTTGACCCACGGCCATATGTTGGGAAAGGAAAGGAAAGGCAAGGGAACCCTGTTTTCATCCTGCAACCGAGCCAAGGCTGCCCGAGCCTGCCGAATGGGCGTGAGGCTCTTCATGCGAAGGTGCAAAGCGCCGCGAAGGCTTCCCAACACCGTGCCCATTTGTGCCCCAACATCACCTTCTAAATCCGTTTTTGTGTAGTGGCCTTGCTGCAAATACATGATGTTGTTGTTGATGCCTTTTTTGGGTTGGTTTAGAGGGGAGCAAAAAGGAAGCCCACAATTTGTTGGGGGGGTCCCTGATTTTACGACACACCCAACAAAATCAAAGTATCATTGGTATCATTTATAATGTGTAACACTATTCTTGTATAGTGAGTAGGAAAAGGCCAGGAAGGTGACGAACCCGAAGGGAGAAACGAGTCCGCTCAAAGTACCGGACACAGCTATGGCACCCCTCTAAACCCATGCTTTGTTTTGTTGAGCTGGTTCGCCCCAAAACATGCAATCGACCGCAAGGGCTCCATTTTGCTTCTTCCAGGATCTTTCGGGAACTGGCATGTTGCACGGCTGACCTGTTGGCACATTGACAATTCTGTTAAGAAATCAGGCTTGGTAGCCTTTGGGCCGGGGTTGCGCCTTCCGGCGGTATGCTTCGATGGTAAGTGGCACTAGGGTTGGGCCAAGGCCTTGGATGTTTCCATCGTTTTCATTGCCTCGTTTTCCCTAGCCCTTGGGCCAGGAGCCTGGTTGTGTCAAGTTTTGCCCAACCCTGGGGGGCACTGGGAAACCAATGCCCTAGTCATTCTTTGGATCGTCAGCAGCATTTGGCGGCGCATGGCTAAGATGACCCGAGATCACGGGCTACATGCGCAACTGATGCCGCGCGCCGATTGGAGGCCAAAAGGCGCTGATGCATTGGATTAAACTATGAACCAGCGGATGCAACCGACCTATCATCACAAGTTCGCGGTTTGCTTCAGTAGTGGATGATATGGCTGTGAGCCTACGTGTTTCAATCCGGAACCCCTCCAAACATGGTTGGCGGACAGAAATGCCCATGTAAATGATGTCCACCAAAGGCTCCCCCCCAAACACGCGCACACCCACACACACACACCCACACAAGAGCATTTGTTGAATGCTCCCCTTTTTTGGGTTGCTTCACTGTAAGCAAGCCAAGCAACTTTTGTAGGCGTTGTCCATTTTCATACCTCGTTGCAATTTCCCTTGCAGAATAGGTCTCTACAAGCACTGGGGTACGTGGGGAACGTCAGGAAATTAGGGTGTCAAAGCCACCTCCCGCACTCCCCCAGGTGCAGCTGTCACAGCCAACACACCCACCGCAACATGACAATTCTATGGACAGGCGGGGTCCGTGAAAGAGTTTCCATCAAGTGCCCAGCCCCAAGCCCCACCATTTGGCTCTGCCCATTTGGTGAGGTGTTCAACTTGTGCCTTCCCGCCCCCTTTTCTGGAAGGATCTGCTTCCATATCCCCATTTTGTAGACAAAAGCATCCCCGCTTCGGTGGCGCAGGCCAAAGAGCGACAGCAGCTTGGCCGCTGATCATTTGAGCTGGGCCATGAAGCATCCTTTCGCCGTCGACTTTTGTTGACCAAAAGTAACTTACATTTGACCGATTCAAGCGCCCATTCCGGGCTCAGCTCCCTTGTCCATCGATCGGCAGGGAGTTTCAATTTGGAGACCTTTTGCAGAGGGTGAGTCAAGGTGTTCTTTTTTCAGGAGGGAGACTCGCCGCCCCAACCCACTCAAAAGTTCGCACTAAGCACATTTCAGAAGCTTTTCTCGGGGCAGGTTTCCTCCCTACTGCAGGGACAACCGGACACCAAGGGCCGGGCCTTTGGCGCGGCAAGCCCGAGT